ACACACATATATATATATATATATATATATATATATATATATATATACTATACTATACCTATACTATACTATACTATACTATACTATACTATACTATACTATACTATACTATACTATACTATACTATACTATACTATACTATACTATACTATACTATACTATACTATACTATACTATACTATGCTGTACTATACTATACTTATGGAAAGTTCAAATTTGAGTTAATATTCAAACCCATTATATTATGACAGGTTTTTTTCGAGAATCAGATCGACGATGCAAAGTATCTAAATCAAGTTTTCGGGCTCGGAACGGCTGTATAGGATGTCGATAGAAACAAAAAAAAAAAGAAGAAAAAAAAAGCTATAAGGGGGAGACGGTGAGAGCGAATGTGTAGTACTGGATGTCGATGAGATTACATACACACCCACTGATGCATGCACACGCACACGCACATGAGCACAGATCACGTGCGATACTCCCTGCATTTAGAATACGTACTGCTGACCATGTAAATGTAATCAAAATTGATTGTAATACCTGATATCCATTCAAGAATGAATAAATTGATTTCTTATAGGCGGATGTAAATCATAATTGTGTCTCTACATAGCGATTTTCGAGGCAGATAACCTTTAACTCGGTTGCCAAGTGTACATTGTACTTGGAGAAGGTAGTTTTTATTCTCATCAACCTGGGAGAACGGAGAATTGCATTGTGCACAGTTGAAGAAAGGTAAATTCGGTTTTTGTAGATGCTTTTCGATGGTCGATTGCAGTTCTGACAACCTAGCGCCAGAGTAAGGGTTATCGTGTATTAGGGCAATACTGCTTAACAACCCAGGTATGACTGTTTTCTTTCAGTTCCATCTAACACGACAAAAACCCTACGGGACTACAGCTCTTCCTTCCGCATATAAACCAACTCCAGCTTAGTTTCACTGAGGCTGCTCCAGTGTAGTCGACATTCATATCCACCATCAGTGCTTCTGCGCGTATTCTGTGCGTGTGTGCCGCAGTGTGCTACGCATGTGCTCGGGTGTCACACTCAGCGACTGCTGTCACATTGTATTGGATGACTGTGCAATTCTCCCCTCCGGTATGTTTGGTGTATAGGTATGTTTGATGTATAGGTATGTTTGGTGTATAGGTATGTTTGATGTAAAGGTATGTTTGGTGTATAGGTATGTTTGGTGTATAGGTATGTTTGGTGTATAGGTATGTTTGGTGTATGGGTATGTATCACCGCCGACGTATTTGTAGTCTATTGTGGCATCTCTGATATCATTGTACCCAGCCTGCACGCTTTGCCCGAAACTGCTGTTATCGCAATGGCAACATCCGGTCCAATGCGCCAGGTTCGGAACGCCTCAGATGAAGTCTCTCAGTTGTAGTCGTTGTCATTGATAGTCTGTTATATATTGTTTGTATATGTATTAGCATCTCTCACCTCTTTGTTACTCGAACGGACTGCGCGGCGGGTGTGTTATACAGGTATGCCAGATTCAACACCACCTCCAAAGAATGCACCCATGCCTCTGTGCGCCGCTTTGTGTATTGAAGTGAGCGTTTTTTGTCAGTATGAACCTACTAAAGTACAAGTGTAATTGTATTCTGCAACGCAAATGCCGGTTGGCGCGACTTCGTTTGATATCATAAGCAATACAGCGTTGTAACTTAAATGTTACAACAGCACATGTGTATTCGCTCTGTCTCTGTTACCCACACACCTCGTCACACAATCCTACGCATTGATCTGGTGCGCCTTTTTCATGTGCTGAGTGTAGTAGTGCTTCCTGGCGTAGCGTTTCCCGCAATTGAGTTCCTGTACCAGCATAATGAGTTCAACGTCGCATGACATAAGAGTCAGTTGGAGCTTACGAGATAACCGGATACGCGACAGTACCCACCCCACACGAGCATTATTGCACACGGTATCGATCACAGAGTTTGCACTAGTTGATTTTCTGAGGATGAAACCGAGTTTGACAACTAGTTCGTGGGTTAGAATCAGGCTTTGGCAGTGAGCTGCGCACACGGAAGCATATAAACGGATCTGCTTAACTTCACACCGGAACATTCAACAGGTAACGTTACTAAATTCGAAGCAGGCACACACAGACCAGCACACACGGAAGCTCTCGACAAGAAAGGAAATACGAAGTGGGGCGAGAGTTAGCGATAGACGTTATGAGCATAGTTCCACAGCTCTATCTCAGGTGTACCGCTCATGCAGACCATAGTGCAGTTATATTCACTGTCGTGCATATTCGCATACTTTTCCACAACCAATGCACACAACACAAGGGTTGTGCACACAGTGGAGCAGAGCCGCACCTACCGGGCACGTGTAGTGTCTCTCAGGCGAGGGGGGGTGTATAGGGTAAGCCACACGGATTGGCTGGCGTTTGTGCGCGTCCCCAACCTTGCTCACTTTAGTTACTGAGCTCGTCTTGTCCGCTTGGCTTGATGGTTTGGTCGTGCCAGCACCTGTAGCTGTCTTAGTCTTGTGCGCGGTAGCGGTAGCGGCAGCGGCTGTCTTAGTCTTAGGGCGACCCACCGCTGTACGTTTGCCATTATTGCCGCTCGTCGCGACTGCTTTCAACGCTCTATGGAACGCCATTTTATTGCGAACCACACGGTTTGGTAACTTCGATGTATGCTTCTCCGTACTCTTCTTCTGTTTCACCTTCGCAGGCCGTGCACGCTGAGGCGTTTTACCTCTTTTCACCGTTTTCGCAGTTCCGCTTGCCGCGTCCCTGTCGTCCCCGTGTCTACGAGCCCTACGCTGCGCTTCCTGTGCATGTTGCTTCACCCTTTCCCAATCGGCATGTTCACGTGCCGTGATGTTTTGCGCCCGGGCCTTTGCCTCTGCCTGGCGCGCGAGTTTGAGCCGTTTGATCAGCTGGGCGTGTTCCGTGCCATAGTGTGCGTTCACCTCAGTCGCTTGTGCAAACCCCTGGCGGCACTTGAGGACTGCGCATTCGTAGGGTCTCTGCCCAGTGCCCGTTTGTAAGTACTGGTCGCGTTTCTGGATGGTATCGAAGGTGCGGTCACACCCTCTGTAGACCATATAGCAGCTCTCTGTATCCTCAGATCTCGAGATCGACTGAGGTACTACTGCTGAGCGCTTCACACCACGTGCGCGCCCGCCCACGTATTCGGTCTCCATGGATACCCCGCGAGTGTTCTGAAGGGATGCATCGGCTGTGATAGGTAGTTCTCTCGCGGTCTTGACATCTATCGATGCTTGGGGGTCTACAGTAGATATGGCAACAGGGAAAGAACGGTCCTCATCATAACTGTCAGACTGAGTGCGTGATGAGTTGGCAGCCCTAGACACGGTACTACGTGCAGATTTTGTATTCTTTTGAAGTAACCTGGAGGCTATCTCGGCCAACTTCGACACACCGACATTCGGTAGGGGAATGTCAGCAGCACTTGCAGTATCACGAAGCACATCGTCTTTGCCCTCCCCACCCCCTTCTTCGCTTCCAAACTGGTCGGTGGACTTCTGTGTAACATGTATATCTTTATGTAATGTACCGTGTTCGATCTCATCTTTACTTGTCGGCTGCTTGTTTTGAGAGTGTGCGTTGCCTCTAACTTCAGACGCTCTGTTGTGTACCAAACCAATATTGCCGTCATGCTGATCTACATATATATGTGCGTCTTCCTCAGCATTAAGGTGTGTGCTGTGTGTGAGCGTAGTATCAAGTGGCATGCCTTCGTCACCGTCGACTGTCCGATCCTCGGTGAGAGCTGGGCTCTCTTTAGACCGCCCTTTCCCTTTGTCTTCACTGTCCGGTTGTCGCACACCGACCGAAGCCTGAACTCCTCCTCTGGTCATCGTAGATATTTGTGGATCTGAACCGATCGCACCCATTCTTGACGCAGCAGATACATTCCCGGGATGCGGAAGCACACTGTCGACGAATGTAGGAATCATACCTGGCGAAAGACAGCCACCTTTTATCGCCTTTTCGTATTCCTCTAAGGATTCAGTACACGTGTCAGGAATACTTTCATCAGTACACGTGTCAGATATGCTGTCAGGGCACGTGTCAGGTATGCTGTCAGATAACATGTCAGGTATGCTATCACTCTTGTCGACGTCTGCACCATGCAGATACTCAGTGGTGTTCTGACTACCAATCGATTGCCCATCGACTGTGGTCGTACTCACACTTAGGGTGCTCGATTGCTTGAGCTTCACGCCATCTGTATGCACCCAGGCAGCCACTGTCTCGCCGTCAACAGCTGCACCACTCATCAGCGTCCGCGACCGTGGTTGTACTGTGCCGTCCGGATTCAGCGCCCAGGCACCTTTTGAGGCGTACAACTCCCCAAGATGCTCGCATTCCTCAGGCAGCGTATACACAGCTTCAAGGACGTGCCCTCCTTTCATAGCTGACACTACAAACTTACGCTTGGTGTCAACTAGCTCGGTTGCGAGCGGGATGGGAGGTGCACTGGTTGCGAACTCTTGCTCATCTGCGGAAATCTCGAAGCTACTTGACTTGTACCTAACCCGTACGTGACCATCGTTGGCTGTTGAACGCTTGCCTGCCTGGCGAGTCGAAATGGTATCAGGGGGTGTCATATACACACTGGACATATGCTTCAGAGACTCCAACTCATCTGAGCTACTGCCAACGAATAGACGGCGTACGCCTGCTGCGATGGGCGATCGATCAAACGCGTTTCCCGGCTGCAAGGTAGATGCTTCAACACTACTACCGGGGGTGATGGGGGGACTTTGGGTAAAGTATTGGGCGTCTCCACCATGCGTTGCATCGATTTTAGTTTTAGGTGGTGATCCGCTCTCACAATCTTCAATGTGTTCGTCGAGCGGGGCGTCAAGAATGGACGAGGCGAAGAAATCAATAGCTTCGGTACTAGTGTCAAGCGAGGGATCACCGACAGGCGGTACAGCGATGCTGGAATCGTCCCTACCCGAGTCATCTGAGGCATTCATGACTGGCTGAGAAACGCTGTCACGGGCTCCCCTACACGAGTCATTTGGTGCACCCATGACTGACTGAGAAACGCTGTCATGGGGAGCCCTGCACGAGTCATCTGGTGCACCCACGACTGACTGAGAAACGCTGTCATAGGCTCCCCTGCACGAGTTATCTGGTGAACCCACGACTGAGTGAGAAACGCTGTCATGGGCCCTCCCTACACGAGTTATCTGGTGCACCCACGACTGAGTGAGAAACGCTGTCATGGCCCCCCCCTACACGAGTTATCTGGTGCACCCACGACTGAGTGAGAAACGCTGTCATGCCCCCCCCTACACGAGTCATCTGGTGCGCCCACGACTGATTGAAAAACGCTGTCATGGGGGGCCCTGCACGAGTCATCTGGAGCATCCATGATTGACTGAGAAACGCTGTCATCATGGGGGCTATTGGACAGGGCGACGCCGATAGGTGGATTATCATTACCACAAGTGGTACAACCAACATCGAGCGACGTCTCCATGACCAGCGAAACATTGATATGGCTAATTGGCGCAGTCAAATCTGGCGCGAGATCGATGTTATTGGTGTCCATGGACGGGTTTTCTATGGCGGAGGCGCCGATAGAGACAGGCGAAACACCAACGTTGGAAGTAGTACTCTCAACACCACCTGAGGTATTCGTAGCATATTGTGCATCGCGTTCAGGCGCATCAGGGCAAGACGCTCTGTCGACAGCAGATAGAGCGATCGGGACAGCATCATCATCACTGATAACGTTGGCATCTGTGACCAATGGGCTATGTGCTTTTAGCGTGCCGTCGATAGTTGACGAGTCTTCAGCGATGACTGGATTGATAGTACACGGAGCTGAAGGCACTAGCGAGACCAGCGAGATAGTCGGGGGGTTGTCCTGCGTGTTGCTTTCGAGTGTGGCGTGTACCTGCGAAGACTTGCTATGGTTCGGCTCAGATACCGAGTCCCGTACATCCGAAACGTCACCAAAATTCTCCTTGAAACCGGATATCACTGCAGCTGCTGCCAATGTGCTGAGATTCGTACTGGGAAGCTCGTCATCCTTGGAGAAAACCTGCACCTTCTCCACAATAGCCGTGTCTGGTTCTGATGTGCACATGTTTATCACGACCTCCTCCGCATCCTTAGCCTCACGCATAGTACCATTATCGCCGTCCGTCCATCCCGCCGCCGTATCGCTCACTTTGTATGGCGTAGGGTCGCATGGTGTGGTGGTAGGCTGTTCAACAATAATGGAACCATGTGGCAATTCATCAGTGCCATGTGGTAGAGTAGTAGCCGCTTTCGCAAGCGAATGGGCACTCGTGGCCTCACGACTGTGTTCAGACTCGATCCCTTTCCCTCCCACTCCGCATGCTTCCGTTGTAGTCGTATCTGCCATGCCTTCTGTAATCGTATCGGTCATTCCGCCTTCCTGATATGCCTCGTATGACTTATGATTACCTACTGAAGCCCTTAGAATATCATGAGCTGCCGTATAGCATACAGTTGTGATCTCTCGATCTGTTGCGGATATGTTTTTTTCTACTCGATACGCAATATTCTGTGCACGTGGGGTCTTCGCCGTTTGCGCAGGTGCTTTCTGTATCGTCTGACCGTCTCCAGCAGTATTTTGAGCATTTTCATTGTTGCCACCAACGGGTTCCATCAGGTCCACGGCTACTGCAGGCGTAGCAATAGCAATAGCACTCGTTGACTCAAAGTCATTCGCAGCGTTTGCCCGGGTTAGGTCGTCACCAGATGAGTACGTTTGTGATAGCCCATCGTGGTATGTATCGGATCTCAGTGGTCCAGACTGGTCTGAAATCTCGCGGGAGGGCGGATGTACCGTCTTGCCGTCACTGCATGACTTTGGTTTAGACTGTGCTGAAGATGTAGTGTCGTCTACTTGTGTACCCTCCACGTCCATTGGTATCTCTCTCTTTCCACCAGAATTGGAACTTGCATTCGGAGTATCACTCAATCTTGCTAGACCAGCGTTTGCAACAGTCACACCACCCGATGACTCAACATACATGCGAGTTCCTGCGCCGGGATCAGCTGCAGCACGTGCATCGAGTGCTCTCTGCGAAGCATCCTGCATCTCATCGTCGCTGCGCACGCGTGTATCTTCATTGCAGCCAGCCATAGTACTTGCCCATTTGTTCAGTGTGTCCTCTGCGTTATATATAACGTTGACCTCTATACCCTCGTTTTCCCGATTCGAATTTGATGTATTTCTACTCATCATCGCAGGTCGCACAACCTCGTCAGTTCTACTACTGCTCTCCGCCTTGTGTTCTCTAACGCAGTGCTGATACGCGTCGGCGACGAACGCAAATTGTTTCTGATGCATCTGCTCGGGACATTCCGTGTGCAAACACGCGTCTCTCGCATTGCAGGTATCAAACACTCGATCGCACTCTCGACAAATAAACGGATACATCTCAGGGTCGTTGGGGGACGGCTTGAGCTTCTCGGAGGACAAAGTTTTAGTTAGAGTTTGCGTGTCCTTGATATTCTCACCGGGCGCCGACACCTTTCCGAGGTCGAGACTACTAGAATGAATTTTCTTGACGAATGAGTCGAAACGAGATATGTATAGGGTAGGGTAGAGCAACTTTGGACGAAAAAGCGGAATCGGAACATTCTGCATACTTTTAATGATCACTGATGTACCCCTGTTGCTGATTTCATGTTCGCTCGATGCCATATGTTGTTCACTGATCTTTTTCGGCTTTGAAGATAATCTCATCGGATGGTATTGTGTGTTAATTGTGTGCATGGGGCGCTGGCTATCACGTTCGTGCAAACCAACGAGTACTTGTCTTGATACCGGCGGTGATTTATTGGTTGTTTGCTGTTTGTGTGGAGAAAAGCCAGCAGGACTATGATTGCTCACTGGCCCAGCCCTCACATGGGAACCTTTGTTAGCCAATGAAGGTCCACGTCGTGCATTGCAGTGTTCGCGATGGGCTTTCCAATGATGTCGTTGGCAAACTCTATTACAGTAAACCGCTTTTCTGTAAATGTGGAGAACGCAATGGACTGTTGTTATTAAACAGTAGCATCAGAATTTAAAATACAATGACATGATGTCAAGACCACGAACTTCAAGCTAATGAAGATTCTACGTCGTTTACAAAGCAAATACTCACTTGGAAGAGGCCAAAGACCGCATTGACCATGAACGAATTCATACTTAGCAGTAGTTCACACCTGCACGGACACTGGATCAGAGCAGAACATTTTCCACATGCATCACAGAATTTTAATGCTTCAGACTCGCTGCCAGTACTATTTTCATCACGCATCATGCTGCTCAAATGACATACGAGTCCCATAAGCTTTGATGTGGCCGTTTTCAAGTATCCGAGCACTTACGATCACATTGATCCTTCGAACACTTTTATTCTGATTTTTCAAAAGTGCGGTTCGTTTCGTAAAATTGCTTCAGCTGCCAACGCACAAACTTGCGAAATGCCCCAACAACGAAATTCAGGAATCTCGTACATTGGTCGATAAAATGGAACTGCGAAATAGATACCACCACACACATTAGGCATTTCTCTAAATTGTAATAAATCACTCTGCTCAAATTACAGAACGCTCACAACAGCGCGTCACATAAAAATATGGATTATATCGAGCTTCAGCGGCAAAAGCGCTTCAAAGCCGGATTCCTACCTTGTCGAATAATGAATCTTGGCTGGGCTCTGCTCTACGTAGGAATCTGAATTTGCAGTGATATTTAAAAGACAGTACACCATTCAGTTGAAAACTAACTATGACGACACCTCTGTTTAAACATATACAAGCGACAACACTTGAACACGCTCTACGTATTCACCATTTACAAACGCTAGCACACTCTACCATAGTTAAACTATAGACTTTATTAAAAGCAGTATTTTCTGGCGTGTGCTTTTAGCTCTCGTCTTATTCGGAAGTCAGAATATCGTGACCTCCTTTGTACGTGTTTGTAGATTGCTTTCTTGATCGAGTTTTTTCAAGGTATCAATACATATGTGCCTGTAGTTTACAGTTTCTCTATATCGCTCAGAACATTGTGACAATCTCCTATAATCCTTTGTAAACTTATGGTTTAAAAAATGATAACAATTTCCATATCATCGTAAGTGCTTGTACTTCTCTGCCGAGCGTGAAATATCTGCGGTTTTTTTTCTCGTTCTTGGTAGATTAATATACTGAGTACAAACAAAACTGTATTTAATCCACAGGTCTGGGGTTTTTATTTATTGCATCTGTAGTTTACAATACTAACAATCTGCGCTACATGTATTATTTATACGACCAGCGATGTTTGCTGCATTTGTTCAATCAACAATGTCCAATTTTTTTTTGCCATGACGCTCTCTAGAGAGGACGCGGTTTTTTCTGTGGCAATCATCGATTCCCCGGGACGGGATAATTTTTCATTTTCTTCTCCCCACCAGTGAGGCGTGTTTTTGCGGTGCGTTGAAAAATCGTATTAGTTTGCATAGGAAGAATAACTAGCCTACGACACGAGTCAGTTCGCTATTATGCCGGCATGTATTGTTCGGGCGAGTATAGAAATGTAACTTTATCGCATAGTAATATCAAGGGCAATTTGCAAGTGAAAAGTTGGCAGACAATCGATGTTGACCTTTATGTGTTTCACGTATGAATTTTAATACCGTCAAGAATAGCCCTAGTGGAAATAAAGAATACCTTACACTATATTCTCAGCAAATGTACATGGTGTAACACAACACCAGCAGATAAACGTAGTATGCGAAGCCAATCGTCACCAGAGAAATCGGTTGAGCTGTACATACTGTGCCTTGGCTGACGATTCGCAACACCCACGGGACCTCTCTATCTTGTTGGGTTAAGCACTAACCGTTTTCGACTCGGCTTTTCTAAACGTTGCCTTATTCTCGCTCTCATACTTACTAAGATAATATCTGCATGTGGATCCATTTTCCCGCCGCTCAGCATGCCAGTCCGTAATTTGGTCAGGTAGAAATCTAATAACGCCCGCAATGAAATATATAGCCTTTTAATCCCTACACTATTTTAAACATTGTATGTTACCATGGACTGATAATTCATCTGTACTACACCGTAAAATCGAATATCTATTCACCACCCTCTACATACTGCAATTAATGTTTTTAATATATATATATATATATATATATATATATATATATATATATATATATATATATATATATATATATATATATATATA